ATTGATTGTGGCAAGGCCTGTGAAAATTTTGCCAGGGCAAGTAAAAAATTGTAACCACTGGCCAAACCGGGCCAGTAGAAAATTTCCTTAGCGTTGAGACCTGTCAATACGATCAAAATCAGTATCATAACACTTGTACACAGATCTGTAGAACACGTAGGTTACATAATGATATTTTAAAATTAAAAACTTAAAATATGTACTTGAAAAGAAAACAGGATGACTTTGAATAGCATCATTGTAAAATTGTGAGGAAGAGCTGAGCAAGTCTTGCACATGTATATCCTGGTCTGAGAGTGACTTCCTGCTTAAACAGGAAGTAATGGATACCAAAAAAAGGTAGAAATGTATGTATGTAAAAGGAGAATGTAGGTGTGTGAAAGCAGAAATGTATGTGTGTAAGGAGAATGTATGTGTGTGAGAGAGAGTACAAATGCATGTATGTGAAAGGAGAATGTAAGTGTGTGAGAGTAGAAATATAGGATAATGTAAGTGTGTGAAAGCAAAAATATATGTATGTGAATGGAGAATGTAAGTGTGTGAGAGTGCCAGAATGAATTATGGCTTGTATGGCCCCTCATATTATCATGTGGCTGGTCATTTAACAATTTGATTGCTGAGACATATTTTCCACAGTCCTTTGTTATAATGTTATAATAATTTAAACAAATCCTATCTGAAATATGACAAATTGTAAATTACTCTGAAAATGACAAGCATGAGTTGCATAGTAATTCTCTGAAGGGACACTTTTTTGTTTTTCTGTTTATTTTTTGGGGTTGGATTTGTCTACAGACGAACCCTTAATTAAGTATGTCACTCATCTCTGGGCAGAAATCTCCTCTGAATACTGAATCAAAAGTGTGTTTGTTTCAGAACTAAACAGCTTTCATTAATCCAGACCTGTCAAACCTTTTTAATCTTCTGTCTCTCAACACAATTACATAGAGGTGCCTCAGGATATTAAATACTTAAGCTCAGCCATTTACTCTCCAGAATAGAGCTGCAAATCTGCCTGAAAGTCACTATTCACGGTTGTCTCGGTTTGTACCATTGCTTCATCAATGACTGCTTGTTTGGACATTCTAAACTTCCGACTGTATTCATTCTGTTTCACTGATTTATCACTTATACGCTGATCCATACATCCAAACATCATTCTGGACTATTCTGAAGAATTGTGTTATATCTGCAGTTTGTACAGTATTTTGAATTTTGCGTGTTGCTAGCGATGTGCTTTTATGTTTATGCCTTGTAAACTGCATTGGGGACTGGATAAAAGCATTGTATAGAGTAAAACTATTATTATTTTCAGTAGCAGTAACTTGGCAAATTTCGTGTCATGGCTGGTCACATATCTTCTTAATTAATTAAAGTGCACTTTTGACAGCCTTTTGGGATAAATGTACATTTGTATTAATATGTAGCAATAAATGTAACTCTATTACACTACTGTTCAAAAGTTTGGGGTCGGTATGATTTGTTAATGTTTTCAAAAGAATTTGATCAAATTTATTTGATCAAAAATACAGTAAAACAGTACTATTGTGTCAAATTACTATGGTTTAAAATAACTGTTGTCTATGTGAATATTTTGTAAAATGTAATTCATTCCTTTGATTTGAAAGCTACATTTTCAGCATCATTATTCCAGTCTTCAGTGTCACATGATCCTTCAGAAATCATTCTAATATGCTGATTTGCTGCTCAAGAAACATTTCAGATTTTTACCAATGTTGAAAAGAGTTGTGCTGTTTTTGCAGATATTTTTTTCAGGATTTTTGGACAGCAAAGGCAGCATTTATTTAAAATAGTCACTTTACTGTCAATCCATTTAAAACATCTTTGCTGAGTAAAAGTATTTATGTCTTTCAAAAACATATTGACCCCAGAACCTTATTATTAACATGTTTGTTGAACCGTTTCATAAGGGATAAAAATGAAAGTTCACCCAAAAATAAAACTCCTGTCATCATTTACTCACAGTAGCCATTGACTTCCATAGTATTTTTTCCATACCGTCAACTGTTTGGTTACCAACATTTTTCAAAATACTTTCTTTTGTGCTTAACAGAAGAAAGAAACTGAAACTCATAAAGGTTTGGAACAACTTGTGGGTGAATAAATGATGACAGAACTATCTCTTTAAGTCTTAAAGAGACAGTATGCCTAAAAAAGAAATTATACTTCAAACTTTATGCGTCATCAAGTGCCAGATGTCTCTTTCTCATAGCTATCATATGGCTTGGAACATACATACAAACATTTAATGTTTAATTCAGTGTGTTACTTTCTCATTCTTTATAATTACTTGTGAAATTTACTATCAATTTCTGAGATTCAAAGTAAAAAAAAATAAAAAATTGGACTTGTTATTTTGAAAAAAAAAAAAAAGAATTGTGTTATATCTGCAGTTTGTACAGTATTTTGAATTTTGCGTGTTGCTAGCGATGTGCTTTTATGTTTATGCCTTGTAAACTGCATTGGGGACTGGATAAAAGCATTGTATAGAGTAAAACTATTATTATTTTCAGTAGCAGTAACTTGGCAAATTTCGTGTCATGGCTGGTCACATATCTTCTTAATTAATTAAAGTGCACTTTTGACAGCCTTTTGGGATAAATGTACATTTGTATTAATATGTAGCAATAAATGTAACTCTATTACACTACTGTTCAAAAGTTTGGGGTCGGTATGATTTGTTAATGTTTTCAAAAGAATTTGATCAAATTTATTTGATCAAAAATACAGTAAAACAGTACTATTGTGTCAAATTACTATGGTTTAAAATAACTGTTGTCTATGTGAATATTTTGTAAAATGTAATTCATTCCTTTGATTTGAAAGCTACATTTTCAGCATCATTATTCCAGTCTTCAGTGTCACATGATCCTTCAGAAATCATTCTAATATGCTGATTTGCTGCTCAAGAAACATTTCAGATTTTTACCAATGTTGAAAAGAGTTGTGCTGTTTTTGCAGATATTTTTTTCAGGATTTTTGGACAGCAAAGGCAGCATTTATTTAAAATAGTCACTTTACTGTCAATCCATTTAAAACATCTTTGCTGAGTAAAAGTATTTATGTCTTTCAAAAACATATTGACCCCAGAACCTTATTATTAACATGTTTGTTGAACCGTTTCATAAGGGATAAAAATGAAAGTTCACCCAAAAATAAAACTCCTGTCATCATTTACTCACAGTAGCCATTGACTTCCATAGTATTTTTTCCATACCGTCAACTGTTTGGTTACCAACATTTTTCAAAATACTTTCTTTTGTGCTTAACAGAAGAAAGAAACTGAAACTCATAAAGGTTTGGAACAACTTGTGGGTGAATAAATGATGACAGAACTATCTCTTTAAGTCTTAAAGAGACAGTATGCCTAAAAAAGAAATTATACTTCAAACTTTATGCGTCATCAAGTGCCAGATGTCTCTTTCTCATAGCTATCATATGGCTTGGAACATACATACAAACATTTAATGTTTAATTCAGTGTGTTACTTTCTCATTCTTTATAATTACTTGTGAAATTTACTATCAATTTCTGAGATTCAAAGTAAAAAAAAATAAAAAATTGGACTTGTTATTTTGAAAAAAAAAAAAAAACAATTTGACTATTTTTTTTGTCCTTTTTTGTATAAACGGTACAATCGGCCAATCGTATGGAAAAGTACAATCAAGTACGCACATTCTGTAAAATATCTCCTTTCGTTTCTTGGATGAATATGAAGATTCACTTCACATGTTTTTAAAAGACTTAAGAGTTCTGACTTTGCTACTCACTGTGATCTTTACTCTGTCCTGCAGCGGCGCCCATGCTGGGCTGTGGTGTAACTGGAACAGGCATCAGGGCCTGGCGGATGGCCCTCTCCCAGCCCTGGGCCACCTCCAGCCCCACGCCACCGGCAGCCAGCGCAGGGTTGTGGATGTGGGGTCCGCCGGTGTTCTCCCCTACGTAGTACACCATGGTTGCGGTGATGACCTCGAAGCAGTGCGCATTGCCCCCCAGGGCTAAACTACTGAAGTCACGCGCAACCTCCACCTGCAAGATCTCCGATAGGGGAATCTCCTGTGGGTCAGAAAATGAATCAGAAGTTTAGACACTGACTCAGTGACAGCTAGATAAGATCGTTTAACCAATTAAACAACCTCACATTTGCTCTTTGAGTCTGGAAATGAGTCATTAAATTACTCCATGTGATGTTGAATTAAAATGTCCAGTCCAGTTCAAAGTTTGCCTCACAGAGTTCGCAGAGTTCACCAACTCTATGGAGACGAAGTGACCAGGATCTCACTGATGAGAATTAAAGAGCGGTTGCTTTCCAAGTCCATGTGGTTCCTCCAGGTTCAAACAGATCCTCTCAAATGTTTCTTATCACACATATCAAAAATAGCACTGTCTGCGAATGCAGCCCGAGCTTGCAGTCCAGGTTTAAGCTTCAATCTTCACTGACGACACAAAACCTAATGTGCCAAGTCTGATTATGACAGTCTCATAAGAGTCTACCTTCTGCTCAGCCCCCGAACTTGCTCTTAGATGAGACAGGAAAAACAGTAGCTGTGGCCAATCAGCACAAATGCTGCGCCTGCGGTCTTCTCTGAATATGAGATGAAGTGCTTGTGGTTTGGTGGGTGAATCATGTGACCCAACCCTATGAAGAGCTCCATGATTACAGGGCAGTGTTCGCGTGCATATGTGTATGAGTGTGTAGACAAGTCTTACGCTAGCCACTGATACATTATGTAGGAGGTGGTCACACTTAAGGGGGTGGGTTGTGGTTATCTTGAGAAAGGCCTTGAACCCCCTTACCCAAAAAACCAAAAGTACAGGGCTTCTATCTTCAAAAGAGAGTACTATGATTTCCAAATGTGCAAATCTAACCGGTTCTATTAAGTCATAGATGAAAATCAAATGCATGATCATGTCTCACACTATATTTTAAGTATAAAGCATTGGTTGCTTTGGGAATCATATACTTTACTCACTGTGCTGAGAAATGTGACAATTGATTTACTTTACAATAAAGCAAAGGACAGAAATGGAGATTGTTAACAAATAGTTTGAGTTGTTCTTCAGAATTATGTAGTACTTCTCTAACATAGGTGAAGCCACATAAGCTTGCTTGGAATATACTGTATAATCATGTCAAAATGTCAAAGAAGTAGTATCTGTTTTAGAATTTAAGATCCAAGCTGAGCTCCAAGCTGATAATAAAGTCATGTGTAAAACAGTCTTGAACACACCCTGAACTATACACCCAGAGTGGTGAGGTTTCCTGACTTTAGTTTTACAGCTGGGAACACAGTGGAGCTGCCACAGGGACATTCACAGAAACCCACAAGTTCTTAAAAACAAAAGGGCATTAAAAATATTTAGATTTTCTACTGGTTTTGGTAATATGACCTTCACATCCCCAGATGTGTGAACATTACTGAAGATATAACCATGGCTCATTTCCTAGTGGGAGCCAAAATACATTCACTACCATTCAAAAGTTTGAGGTCG